GGAGGGTGGTGTTAATATGTTAATTATAATTTAGTTAATATGTGTTTATTATTATTATTATTATTATTTTGCAAATGTCATTAATTAATACGTTTTATTATTAAATAGCCTATTAATTAATAAATATCAGTCCGTTTTTGGGGGAGTTACACCGCATGTCAACATAAGCAGGCTAATTGGCCCTAACACACAGTCACGAGGGTCTACAATATAATATAATTTCCTATTTTGTTATTTTTCTGCATATTTTTTGCACCACATGACTTTGATTTGGAAGTCAACTGTTTTAAATAGTAAATAAGTGTATATTAAAGAGATAATAATAGAAGGGTCACTATTTTTCAAGAATTTCCTGATTATAACGTGGCTTTCATGAAGTGTAAAGTAATTTTTAGTTTATCATTGTTGAAGTGATGTTTTGAATGGTGTCTCCACTGAACAGTTTTATTTGTCTTTGGTTGGCAGTGAAAAAACCCCACCTTCATCTGCAAGACATTAGAGAGATTAAACCAGAAGAACTGACCTACAGTGTTCCTACTCAACCCCTTATGAAGAACAGCCATTCTGAGCTTTACAAAGGGACGTACAACAAATTCACTGTGGCTATCAAGAGATACTCATGTCCGCTGTGCACCTGCCCCAGGTAGATGATAAAATGAATTGTACTCAATTGTTAATTTTTTTTTTTTTACACGAGTGAAATCAGTCTATACCATAGCAATCATTTTCTTGACTGATTTAAAAACTACAGTTTCCTTGTTGCATATATGCGTTCCTTCCAGTGATCTGAGGAGTGTTTTTAACAAGGAGGTGGAGACCATGAAGCGCTTTGAGTCACCAAATATCTTAAGAATGTTTGGGATCTGTGTCGAGGATGAGAACGGTGTGCCAATCACAAATCACCAACCAAAGAATAATCTCAGTTTGAGAAAATCAGCAAGTTTGAACTTTACTTGAGTTAAACATGCATCTAATTGCCATTTTGTCCTTCTCATACAGGATCAAATCCAAGTTTCCTGATAGTCATGGAATACTGTGAAAAGGGAAGTCTTCGACAAGTCCTGGACAGTAACTGCAATCTGCCCTGGGAGAGAAAGATGCAGATGTGTCTGGATGCGGCTCAGGGACTCTACAGGTCCAAATCTAGCTATACTGGCATAAGAAAGTCAACATACTGTTATTCTATTTATTAACGACTTGTTCTTCTTCCTCTGTGACAAAAAATTCTGACTCTAACTCCTCCTAGAGCTTTAATCATACATGAAGCATGTCTTTTTTTATCTAGTTAATTTATTCTCATATGTTTGCATATAAACTATAGCAAAGGTATATTTGTCGTCTCAGTCTCATTATTTTTTGCACAGTACAGGCTGCATCAGTCAGAGGAGAAGTTTAAAGTTCATGGCTCCATCAGAAGCAGTAGTTTTCTAGTGGCCGCTGGCTATAGAGTGAAGGTAATGGATATTCTCTTTCACAATATCAGCATCAGCATCATCTACCAAAACGACCACAACATGTTTTTGTAGCCAAAATGACCAAAAAATGCCCCATCAATTCAAGACAAAGGGGCAAAAATGCCCCTGCAAACTTAAACAACGTATTACGGCTGTCACGACTAAAATGAAACATGAAAATTAATGAAAAGTGCCAATTAGCAGAATTACATTTAGATTCGCTCACACTGGATTAGATTGCTTTTACACGCGTTTTGTGCAGCATTGAGCCTTATAACCAATCAGGGAATATAACCCTTTTGCACAGTACAGGCTGCATCAGTCAGAGGAGAAGTTTAAAGTTCATGGCTCCATCAGAAGCAGTAGTTTTCTAGTGGCCGCTGGCTATAGAGTGAAGGTAATGGATATTCTCTTTCACAATATCAGCATCAGCATCATCTACCAAAACGACCACAACATGTTTTTGTAGCCAAAATGACCAAAAAATGCCCCATCAATTCAAGACAAAGGGGCAAAAATGCCCCTGCAAACTTAAACAACGTATTACGGCTGTCACGACTAAAATGAAACATGAAAATTAATGAAAAGTGCCAATTAGCAGAATTACATTTAGATTCGCTCACACTGGATTAGATTGCTTTTACACGCGTTTTGTGCAGCATTGAGCCTTATAACCAATCAAACGTGTTTCTGTTGAATTTAGGAATGCATTGGCCAATCAGAGGTGCTTAGATTAGTCAGCGCTGCAAACACCTGAATTCCCTCATCATAAACAACACAGTGCTGACACAATGTAAATAAAACATTAATTTCGTAGCTTCAGTGGCTATACCGGTTTTTGATTTTTTTTTTTTTTTTTTGCAACTTGCGCTAGACTAGACTATTGTCATGATCCGATATGTTTGTCTGTAAAGAATGCCAGAATGCGACATGCCCAAAATGCAGACACAAAACAAAAACGTTTTTATAATGTTTTCCATATCAATATTATTACAATATGAAAAGCAATAATATACAATAATTATTTTTGTCATAAAATTGCAACCCTATGCGCTCCTGTTTTTTGCATGTTGAATTTAGATACAATTTTTAAAAGTCTATTGGGTTACACTTTATTTTTAGGTGTATTTTCTTACAGTGTAATTATACATTTAAGTACTGAGAAATATTAATTAACTGCATGCACTTACTACATGGTTTGGCTTAGGGTTACTTGCATGTAATTATGCATTATTTATTGTTGTTATGATAGTAAGTACATGTAATGTGTAACAAGGACACCTTAAAATAAAGTGTTCCCTTCTATGGTTATTAACAACAGTTTAAAATATTGATTAAAGTAATTGGGTACATTTAATTATTTGATATTAAAGACAACATAGTATGGTTATTATAATAATACGGTGATTATAAAAATTGCAATCACAAATGTAAAAAAAATAATGGAAAAGTGAATTTCTGACCCTGCTGGATGTACATTTTTACATTTATGCATTTTTAGGGCATTTAAAGCAATAATATTATTACAGTTTGCTTTCTAAAGACTGTCATAGATGGATAGATAGATTTAAAAAAAAAAAAATTTGAAATGTGCTGGACACTTACTAAAACCCAGGGAATGTTTTTTGTTGGGGTTTCATCTTAATGTTCATTTGTATGTTTCGCAAGTTGGGAGGCTTTGAGTTGGCAAAAACAGAAACTTCTCTTCAGAAGAATAAATCCAGAAGGAGCAGTGCTTTCCATTACAACTCTCCACAGCAGCTTCAGAATGTCAACCATCCTTACGACAAGGCATGTGAGATCTACAGGTACGGCAGTCCGACTCAAATACCATACACGTGTATCTCATTCAAATAAAGGATGGTCTCTGACTTTACATGCTCTTTTTAGTTTTGGCATTGTCTTGTGGGAAACTGCAACACGAGATGTTCCTTTCAAAGGTGTGTATCACCAAAACTATCAGTCTTGCATTTGCCCTGAATATTACTTAAATGTTAACTAAATACATGACACACTCTTTCTGTGCCGGTGTTTTTAGACTGTACAACCCCCAGTCAAATCTTCCAAAAAGTGTATGTAGAGAAGGTCATGGAGCCACTTCCGACAGACTGTCCTAAAAAGCTAAAAGAGCTCATCAATGCCTGTCGATCATTTGAGCCCTTCCTACGACCAACCGCTGGAGGTAAGACCCTGACACACAGGTGAAGTTAAATTACGCTAGCGGGTCATCATCACATATTCTTCTGTGATTAGTAATGCTTTACAAATTACATTACACAAACAGATTACAGTTTTGAACTGGGAAAAAAACTTAATTGTGTAGTCCAACGCAAGCATAGCTGACAGTGTGGGGAAAAAAAGTAACACAAATTTAACCATTGCATAGCATAAAAGGTTAAAATTTTACTTTTATTAAACATGTCATGTCATTACTTAGCAAATAACTAAAAATGTGGCACATTTTTATGTCATTGATACTTTAGATGTTATTATGTGGTCCTCATTCTATGTGCAGCAACACAAAGAATCTCTTGTTACATACTTTCTCTGTGCTATGTTGGGGCCGTGGCAATTAGTTTGAATCAACAGAAAAAAAGTAAAACTGGCTCATTGACAGTGTGATGCCAAAATTCGTGGCTTTATATATGGGTGAGATGATTGTGTTTGCTGCAAATGGAGAATAAAAGTGAGCCAAATACACAGCCTTGTGGAACACCAGTAGTATCACCTTTGCCGCCTTTTCTTTTTTTATATATATATTTTTTTTTTATTAGATTAACCAACTTTGAACAAAACATTAAATGCTTAACCAAAGGTAGGGCAAACATAATGGCTATAAATAACTGCTAACTAATATAACTGGAAAAATAATAATAATGATGAAAAAACAAAACAGGAAAGGGAAATGGTGATAAGAGACATTCCAAATTAAGATACATGATCAACCTGACCCATAAAAATAAATCAAAAGTTCAACAAATGTCTTGCACCTACACAAACTTTTGGTGGGATAATTCAAGAAAGGACAAGCAGGCTATAATGGACCCAATAACGGCATAATCTTACAGTTAATTTTCTTACTGACAAAACACAAAACTGACATCATTATAAACAAGATTTCACAAATAGATTATGTGAACAGGTGACCAAAAACACATGGATTGTCATTGAATTGTCATTTTTGATGATAGCAATAGAAAACTTACGGGGGAAAAATACATTATTTATTGTCTTATTTTTAGTGATTTGTTTTTGTTTATTTATATTTTTCTTTTTTAGTATTGGTCGACATGCTCCTTAAAATGGTGGAAGAGGATTGATGGAGCACCTCTGCATTTCTAACCAAGGCTTCTGGCAAATCAGATTCTGATGATGCAATCTGTTACCATTTTCCTGGGGAGTATTCCAGAAAGCAGGATACATTTAGTGTCACATAAACCCTGAACCCAAACCTTGCTTACTTGCAGTACATGGTGCATATACATGGTGCATACATTATTGATCTTAATGTGAATGATTCATCCTTGCATGTTTATTTTTTTGGTATTTTTTTTTAACCATATAGTTTTCAATCAAAATGTCATTTGAATTTAACTGTGAAACAACATACTTCTCTGTAAAAAAATTAACTTAAATGATTTTAGCAAATGGCTGCAATATAACAAAGAGTGAAAAATTTAAGGGGGTCTGAATACTTTCCGTACCCACTGTATGTCAGACTTCTCCAATTATTAAGTCTGCTTACACCCCATCCTTTCAATGTGTTGCAAGCCTGCATTCAGAGCTGCCTCCGTCCCATAAACAGCCAATTGATAGAATCATGTCCCTGCCTACATTATGGCCATGTTAGTTTAGTTTAGTTTTGTTTTGTTTTCTTTCACATTTGTGACAATATGAGATGTCACATATGATTTACAAAGATATATATATATAGCAAACATTCCATAGCAAATAAGACATTCTGATTACAGATGAGAACATTTTGCTTTTAATATTTGTGAGGAAAAAAATACATTGATTCGTTATAATGCTTTACAATACAGTATTAGCATAATCTGTGCCATCAAAAATTAAAATCTCACTGCTGAATAGTAAAATTGTCTGTCTGTCTTTTCTCTAGACATACTGTTACTGTTGTTGTTGTTATGTAACTTTATCAATAAATGCCACAGGCCATATATCTAATAGAAAACTTTATGAATAAAGTTACTGACAGAAAAAGGAGTAAAGACACATTTAAGTGATGTGATGTAAGTTCCAGTTAAGTGATGTAAGATATTTCATTAGGTGATAATCATGTGAAAGTGGAGCTTTGTTGGTAAGATGTTGGAGCCATTAAAATATATTTTTTTATTATTCGATAAATGGTTATATCTATTATTACTTTATTATTTCACATATAAATAGATATATTTATTAATATATTTAACTATAGTCAAAAGACAAAACTTCACCTTTTTTCTGGTTGTTGTCGGTTGTTTTAATTAAATGTTATTGTTGTTGTTATCCTTGGGGAAAAATCTATAAATTGCTCAATGATGTTACTCTGATTCCATTCAGAATTAACAGAGGGCAACAGTCCATCTCTACAATTTACAAGAGATTTTAATACTTTATATAACGTGTTAGCAGTGTTTGGTGATTTTACTTGGGAAAACCAGCTATTTTCTAGCATTCAAATAACAAAGGATGAACCTGAAATGCTAAATTCACTACATTCGTAATTATTATCCAATGTTAGCCTGGACCACAAAACCAGTCATAAGTCATTTTGTTAAAATTGCGAGCTTTTTTTAAATTAAGGAAAGCAAACAGGATGCGCTTTCTGTCGTCTTGGTCTTGAACAGGTGCACTTCACAATGATGAACCGACACTCAGCGAATACTTGCCTCCTCACAGCCATGATATTTTTCCTTCCACTCAACTTTCTGTTAACATGCTTGGATACAGCACTCTGTTAACAGCCAGCTTCTTTGGCAATGAATGTTTGTATAATAATTAACATTACATATAAAATGTAACTGTGCTCAAATACCAGTGCAATATATAAACTAGACTAATGATTATTTTATTGGTCACTTACCCATACTTCTCTACCATATCAGCCACAAGGATGTTTACCAGCATCCTTCGTGTCTTGTCAGACAGGCTCTTCGTTTGTTTGTACTCCTTCAATATATCAGAGCCTCCTGGTTTTGAGTGTAGTGCTGCATGAACTAGCTTTAGAGAAAGAAGAAAAAAAGATTATTGCAAATAAACCAGTCTTTGATATACTAATGTTGGTAAGATTATTGATATGGTATCAAAAATTATATCATTCAAGGACAAAACTTAAGCAAGAGAGGAAAAATAACTGACATCTTTTGACGCATTGCAGTCAGAAGGTTCTTCTAAGAATCGCTTTTTGCGTGCCTTTGAAGATTGTGGAATCACTGTGGAATCTGAACTTTCTGATTCCACTGATGAAAATGACGACTCGGAGCATGAGGGCTCAGAGAAATCGGTCCCAGCTTGCAGAACATTATCTTAGAATCACATACAGCACACAAGACAATTGAACATTAAAAACATTAAAAAGACAGATGCTATCATCATGTATTGTGAATTATACATTTTTTAACATGGCAGCAGGTCATGAGTTTCTTACCCGATTTATCGTTATCACCATCCAAAATTTTAGATGTTCTCACAAGCTCATCAAAAACATCAGCATCAACATCAACTCCTGCAGAGTCTTTAAGAACCACATTGGTTCTATGCGGCAAGTTGAACTTGGCTGAAGCTTAGAGGTAGAAACAAATACAATTCGATTTCATGTTCAAACATACTGAAATTTCAACATTTTAATTGCTTGGCATTATTTTCAAATGCAAGTAATACATAAATTTTTTTTTTTTAAATCTAATACAATAAAATCAATAACTATACAGATCAGTAGGATAGAATTAAAGTCAAATGTATTGAAAGATACAAAGATTTGTTTACATTACTATATGCTAAAAAATTAAATAAAACACCACTTTAGTGTGATCAGAATATTATTTGGGATTAAGTTTAATTTATAATACACTGAATATCTAATACAAAAAAATGCAGATATATTATGACTGATACTTTTTAATACATCACTGCATTGTAACAAAATATCAAAGCAAACAAATACTGCAGCTTTTCTCAGAACTTACTTGCACTTTTCTGAGCCTTTGTGCAGTAATTTTTACCCAACTAGTGTCAAGTAGACTTTAGTGAACATATGAAGTGGAAGTTCAGTTTCCTAGCAGGTGTTCATTCATCATCTAACTAGCGTCTGACTGACGACAAGAAGCGTTTAGCTGTGGATTTGTTAGACGCACAACGATAATTAACCGATTATACCAACTTAAGAATGTGCTTTCACACTTACCACTGACGCGCTGCATTTCTCTGCACTTTATCGCACGCTATTTCGTCCGTGTATGTACTCTAAACTAGCGACACGACGCAACAAACTCAGAAGTCTCCCATTATAACCCACTGTTCATTTTACTCGCGTCAACACTATTCATTTTACACCGTCCCTGAAAATTCTACACCAGTGATTTTGCTGTGTATTATTAATAATAAAATAATATTACAATAGTCATAGTTTTCATTTTGTTTAACATTTTAATAATAATAATTGCTTAATGTTTTATTCAATAATAATAATTAATAATAAAAACTAATCATATTAAAAATAATAAATATTCAGTAGTAATAATAGTAATAATAATATTACTAATAATAAAAATATCAACAATAAATATTGTTATTGTCTTTATTAATGAAATTTGTTTATTATTATTATTATTGTTTATTATATTGATATATAATCAAAATTTTGCCCAAATTGTGCAGCACTACAAGCACAGTAAACATGGTGTTAATATTAAGATTATTAATAAAATAAAAATTGAATAATAATGTTTCATATTTGGTTTAATATTAATTTTTTTTAATAAATATTGTTTTTACAATTATTGTTTTAAATAATACAGAAATGTGTTGCTAATTATTATTGTTGTTGTTATTATTATTCATATTAGTATTATTTTTTTATATAGCCGTTTTAATTTTCATCAGAAAATTCAAATGAGATTTCTTTCCCCACACTCACACACTCTCACACACACACATACACACACACACACACTCTCACACAC